AAGGCAACTTGTGGCAGTTTTTCTACCTTACATGGTGTTGCATTCTTATTGTTGCTAAACAATTTTTATTTTTTATTTTTTTATATTTTAAATTGTTTAGCGACAATGAGAATGCACATGATAAACCTAAATCTGTCATGACATGGAAACAAACACGTATCAGATTTCTGCTCGTTATGAATAACAAGGAAAGAATTGTTCAAGAAAAAGCTGAACTTGATAACTACAGGTTGCCCCTGTAACAGTATCAAATGCAACACAATGCAGGATTTCCCAAACACAATATAAGGCAGTATCAAAATCTGAACTTGATAACCAACATGATCCAAGCTACTTGGTGGCCCACTAACCCTGATCAAGGCATGCACACAGGAAATTGTTTTAACATAGTAAGATTGGAAAGGAATGCATGTTCGATAAACCCTGCTTGAAAAACTAAAAGCCATCTATGAAACGAGCTAGGCTCGCTACATATGGACAATAAAATCATCCCCAAAACAAAGCTTTACAAGCATGATGTCTATCCACCTTTTTTCAAAATGTAGTATATAAATAGCCATCTATGAAACCAGCTAGACTCACTACATATGGACAATAAAATCATCCCCAAAACAAAGCTTTACAAGCATTATTTCTATCCACCTTTTTTCAAAATGTAGCATAAATATTTATTCATCTATTAGTATATATATTAAGCGAGATGGTGACCCCTTTTATTCTTGTGATGAGTGTCCTTTCAATGCCTCTTTTGCCCTCTTGCTTTTATATTATACTGATTTTGTTTATTTTTGTTGTCAGTTTTGCTCACTCTATCTTGATTCTCTTTCACTTGAATCTCTCTTTATCTCTATGGTCTTCCACGTAGATTTCCTTCCCTTTTCCTTTTCTACAATTTTGTCTTCTTGAATTTTGATTTTATTTCAATTAGTCCTTTTTGTCCATGTAGATTTCTCTTCCTATTCCTATGGGATTTTCTCTCTCTCCTAGCAATGAGTCTGTGTGTGTATGTGTGTGTCTATGCCCCCCACACCACCCCCCTTTCCCCCATACATACACACACCCACACATCTCACCTAAACCTATCTTATCACGACCAATTGAGGAATTCATTGACATTAAAATGATAGAAACTTATATCACCAATTCATTCATGTATTGATTCAGCCAATATGTACTTCCAAGGCCATGTAAGTCTTGCCTCTTACATTTTTTATTTTTATGCATATGTTTATTAGGAATAATCTATGAATTTGCTTTTAATGATGACTATTTTATTTCTTCATACTTCCGTTAAACAATTTTTATGTAGTTTTTCTTGAATGCATGCTAACCAATGAGGAAGAGTGGATGTGCTATATAACAATTTATTATCTTCATCATCATCAGAGCTTTTTCTTTTTAAGCATTTAAATTGAATTCTAGCATGCCGAGTGCTTCATTTCTAACATTCCATTGCCATCCCATCTCATTTTGATGTCTACGCTATCATGTTATTGCGGATTACAGCTACCGGTTTTCTTGGGATAGAGTTTGTCATTTTTGTCAACTCCGTCGATGTTACATTCAACTTTATGAAAGTTCACTACAACAGGCAGATGGTACTGTCAGCACACAATTGAGACAAATAGAGAGGGACCTCGACTCCAAAGTTATCCTTCTTTGAAGGTTTGCAGAGATTCTGTCCTTGCGTCATGATTTTCTATGCTTGACCACTGCTTTTCCTGTTTTAGGATTATCACTTTCCAATGTGATATTTGGAACCTTATTTTTCCAGATTAATTGCACATGCTAAGGTTGAGAGTGTGAAATCCAAGGAAGCAGCTCAAAGTAGGCGTCAGATGAAAAGAAGCTGGTGGCCTTTTGGGTGGTATGACAAAGCTGCTTTCCAGGAATTTTTTGGAACCTTATTTTTCCAGATTAATTGCACATGCTAAGGTTGAGAGTGTGAAATCCAAGGAAGCAGCTCAAAGTAGGCGTCAGATGAAAAGAAGCTGGTGGCCTTTTGGGTGGTATGACAAAGCTGCTTTCCAGGAATTTTTTCTTCTGACTAGTCTCTGCAGTTGCTAATTTGTTACCATTCACAAGCATTATATTTCACAATCTTTGTTAGCCAAGCAATGATTGGGAAGTCTAGATTGCTTATCTGCAAATACTTGTGCAGGCGCTCTTCTTCTGGAGATACACCGATTGTGGAATTTTCTAAAGAATCACATTTACTAGAAGACAGGCTAACTAAAGAAGAATGGCTCGCAATTAATAAAATTTTAAGTTACCAATCAGATGAAGAGATGAATTTTCCTTTTGGAAAGGACTCACAGAATACGATACATTTTCTTGTAAATATTTCAATTGGGCAGGCCGCAGCTCGGATAATTAATATCAGACAAACGGAAATTATCTGTGGTAGGTTTGAACATCTTCAAATCTGCACCAAGTTTTGTCCTAAAAGCATCCAGTGTAATATAAAGTTGAGATTCTATGGATTATCATCTCCGGAAGGCTCAATTGTGCAGGTTGGTTTTTCTTTTGTATTTAACTTGCCATAGTTAGATGCATGCTGGTGATATCAGGCATTGAAGTTAACACTGTGAGCTCTATGTTACAGAGTGTAATCAATGAGAAAAAGGCTGATGCTTTATCTGCAACTTTTGTACACTCACCTCATGGAGAAAATGTAGATTGGCAGCTCTCAGCGACTATTGCTCCATGCCATGTCACGGTGCTCATTTGTTTTTTGTTTGTTTGAGCTTTGTAGCCTAGCATCAATTCCTAATAACTATATTGAAGAATGGATTTATGCTATATTGAAACTGCTTATAACTGGAGATCAATGTTTGTTCAAGGTTGTGGTGACTTGTAGTTCACGAAACTGAAGTTTTTTTTCCTTGAATTTAATGTTGTCAATTCCATCTGACTTATGTAGTTATATGCTGTTCTCTGCTCCCATGTAATGACAATAAATCAATCGTCTTTATCAATGTTGGAGAAGTCACTAGGCGGTGCCTAGGCAATGGGGGTGCTTAGGCAGACGCAAGGGTAGCTCTGTGGAAATGAAGACAGAGAGAGTGCATTGTTTTTATTTGTTTTACTAATTTTAAATTGCTACTTGTATTGTCAATAAATTACTTGTTTTGTAATTCCTTTAGTTATATTTGTCTTGTGATAACTTGGATCATATTATATTATTAACTTTTGTTTTATGGTATCGATAGTCAACGATAGTTAATGTATTTGTATTATAGTATCAGTAGTATATTAGTTTTAAAGAGACATGATTGACCCATGTACTAATGACGTGACATTGATAACATTTATTTATATATTTGTTCTATAGTATTAATAATATTCTATTTTTTTAAGAAGCATTATTGGCACATGTTGACATTGATGCAAATAACAATAATATATTGATTTATTTGTACTAGGGTGCTATGACTATATGTAATATTATAAAGTAGTACCATATAATAATACTTTGGAGGGCAAAAATGATCCCCTAGATTCTCCCCATAGTTTTCAAACAAAAAAAATAAAAGCAAAATGATTAAAAACGACCTTAAGCATGGGGCATTTTAGCCCCATTCACCGTAATTCGTCATGGGCCGCCTAGGTGGGCGCCTCGCCTTAGCACCCACCTTGTGGACAACCCCTCTACCTGCCCGACTAGCCGCCTAGGCGGACCGTCTAGGCACTCGATTAAGCACCTTTTTCAACAAGGATTTTTATATGTACATACTCTCTGCAGGCTAGTGTCTTCCATTTGTTGATGCTTCTCTGTTGATCCTATCCTTCCTTAGCATGCACGAAGTAGTTTGCATAATTGTAATCATTTGTTTTAATTTTCTACAGAGAACAATGGATAAAGGGATATATTGTCTTTTATAAATAACTTTTAGAAAAGGCATAAATGAAGTTGCATCTGGCCTGCAACTAAGGGGCGAATTCTAAATGGAGAAGGTTGTGGGTGGGCAACAGCATCCTAATTGAAAAGAAGGTTTCTGCCTTTTTCTTCCCAGCAAGGGAATCAACCATGTCATTATCTTTAAGCACACTGAAGTAATAGAGGTTGGAACTCCCTTCACATTTCTGCTCAATAATATTGCTAGTATCCATGGCTACTTTGCTGCGTTCTGTGAGCATCTACATTTGTGAGACCTAATAAGAAACAAAATAAAACCTTTAGTCCTGTTGACAGGATTTGTACATCCATATTACTTACTGCCAGTGCTGCAAAGGTCTTTGAATGCCATAAGTTTGTCACACAGGTATCTCGAAAAACTGCAAAATATAAATGGGTTAAGATTCTCGAAGAAATTTTCATCAAAATTAGGATTAGGGTCTTTGACCATTTGGATACAAAGCCCTTGGTCTAAATGTTGGAGTCTTCCAGCTCAAACCCTTAACCAAATCCCTTTACTGAATTCAGCTATTGTAATGGAGTACGATATCTGCGATAGACACCTTTGTTGGAAGTACCACAAGGTATTTCTGTGATTTCATTAGAATTACATATGTTTTCTTGATTTGTCCTACATCTGTGGGAAGTGTTGCAGGCAACACTGCTTTGGAAGTGATAGACCTTCAGTTAGAAATTCCTAGAAATGTTTTCATATACAATATCTACATTTTTCAGTTGCTGTGTCAGACACTCGGACTTATTGAATGTGGATACTCATGGTAGTTACAATCATCTCATATATGAATAAACAAGTTCAAGTTTCTTCTTCATGTTTCTCACTATGCTTGGACATACATCCTTGTGTTAATGACCTGGAAATTCTAGTTTGTGACACTTCTGATTTCAATGCACTCTTTCTTCTTGCACGCTGATTGAGCATTCTCGTGTCACCCGACTCTCAGCACCTTGCTTGTGGTTTTCCTTGTTCCTCATACTTTCAGTTGTATTTCCTCACTCTCACTCGCCATTAGCTCTTCCGTTAGGAGGGAATATCTGCCTCCTCCAAACTACTTATGCTTCAGGAGCTCCTAGAACCTGAACATGGCTCATAATCTAGTGTTCCAGCTATCAAATACAATGCCATGCATTGCCAATAAGCATTCCTTATTCCTCGCATCCAACAAGTGAAGTTCTTGAAGTATACCATTTGTCCTAGCTTCTACGGATACTTCATTTGGATCTGATTCTCTTTCAACTGGTCTGCTTGTAGATTGATATCTTAATATTCCCTCTTCCTCCTTTTTCTGTTTTGTTCTTTCGTCGTTCTTTCATGGCTTCACTTTTGTTGTGAAAGGGCAAAAAACTGTATGCACTTTCGATTGCCTGAGTTTGATAGTAAAGTAGACACATCTGTAATGGAACAATGAACTCCAGTGGGAGTATGGTCCCAAGGGATCAACGTTGGCAGTATTGATGCCGAGACTCAAACTAGGCTTCTCGAGCTAGGCTAGTTGAGTAATAAAACCCTAAGATACCTGGGCATTGAGCACAACCGAGAAGGGCTATCAGGGTTACCCCTTGATGAGGTCGGAGATGCCCTGGGTAGTTTGCCAAGGGACTGTGTAACCCTTGTGTGTGATTGGTAGGCCTTAAGGGACAAGGGCTAAATCATCATCATAGAGTATCATACGACATGTAAAATGATTTCCACATCGGGAAGCAAAGCACCATTGAGGGTGTTGTGTGTACATGTGCAAGAGATAGCCCATATGCACCAAATTGCAACATGTGTGCAAAAGTCTGTGTGACCTAGACTTGTCCCTAGGGGGCGGAATCTGTAATCCATAGGCTAAGGATTGTGTACTGTTCCCTCACCTATTGGCCGACTTTGATAGCCCAATCAGGAATCCCTGTGGTTCATGGTCTCTAGTAGAAGGTGGAGTGCCTCAATATTTTCACGTTTTCCTTAAATCCTATCAAATTAATTTAAAAATAATTAATTGGACTATAAATGATTTTTAGATTGATAAGGCAAATTTTTAGAATTTTCTTTTATCGGTTTTTAAAAGTCTCTGGATATTTTATTCTCTCAAAGCTGATTTATAAATAGGCTCAAACTGAATTTTCAGAATTTAAATATTCGGAGAGAAAAATAAAATATTAAATGTTCTCTAAAAATCATTCATTAATTTTAAAATTGTTAATACACATGGGGGCCCATTATACTCCATGGGCCCTACCAATTTGAGCATGTGGGGAAGTGCGTGGGGCCCACTTGAGGCCCCATGGGTGGAACGTCCCACTTTGTGCACCTCCTTCCTATTTTGTTAAGGCATGTAATATGCCATTCATTTGGTTGAAATGAAAAAGGGATGTTTTTGAAATGAAAAAAGGGGCACGCCCCAACCATTGAGCCTAGAGGAGCACGCTACACCCACATAGTTTTTAGACTTAGTTTTTGTTCCACATTGCTCTCATCATTGAAGGGTTTCTAGCCAAGGATTCCCATAGTTGTGAGTTCTAAGAAAGACCTTGATCCAGTGCACCATTGAAGGAGGAGATCCTAGTGGGGTGTACCAAGTCCAATTAAGAAATTGTATTGATAGGTCTACAATCTTATTTCCCTGTGTGCTGAGTTGTAATCTGGAATACTCACTTTTTAAAGATCTCCAGGTGCTTTGCTTGTACACATGTCCATGGGTATGCTATGTTGTGGCAAATCTATCTAATGATATCGCGAATCACTTTCCATTTCCAAAGGCGCTGAGAAAATATTATAAAGCTGGTCCAGAATGTGCTCTCATCTGTCATTCTAGAATCACTTTGTAAGCTATCTTAGGAAGGTCAAATGAACTCGCTGTTTTAAATGTTCTACCTACATGTAAGGAACATATCGGAGGTCCCATCAAAAACTTAGTTTGAGGGCTCTTACAAGGAGTGGGGTCATATTTAGCAACAAGCTTGGGTGATTAGGCCCTGTGTCCTTGTGGGGATTGTGGCCCTTAAAGGTCGTGAGAGCATGTAAGTAGAGGATTATAGTGGATTGCACACTTTAGTGGGAGTGTGAGTATTGGTTGACTAACCTAGGGTTTGGTGGTCTATAGCCGTAGTCATGCACAAAACACTTACCCATGGTGATATGGCACTATTGATAAGGGTTTCTAGAAGGTCATCTCTTATTGAGGTCATAAAGATACCCAAAGGATGGTTTATAGGCCAGAAGAGCTTCTTGATCTCCTGTATGTGGATGTAGGCTTGTGAGAGAGAGGGCTAAATCCTCGACAAACATTCGCACTGCATGAACTCATGACGAACACGATATTATGAACCAAACCTGCAAGGCTACGTGTACATGTGTATAGAGAGAGTCCCCCTTGCACTTTACTAATTTGTGCGTTTAACTTGGTCTTCATGGGGGACTTGTAATCCACATTCTAGGACTGTGGCTCCACTATTTATTGGCCACCTTTGATGTGACAATCATGAGCCCTTGCATGAGATTGTGGATAATGAGTCTCATTGGGTTGGTTTGAGAAGATAGTCAAGTATTACAATAACTTTTCTTGACCCATTGGTGCCAGTCCTCTTCTAGATATTTGTTTTTGTTTTAAGTGTACCAAATGTTTATGTGAAATGTAGGAAAAATTTCAGAATTTTTAAATTTATTCAGCTGTAGAAACCCATAAAAAGGGTTCTGAATTTTTTGTATTGTGGAGGGGGTTTCTGAATTTTTTGGATTGTGGAGGGGCTAGTAGGAACATGTGTGGGGGCGCCCCCCTCCTTGTTTTTTATTTTGAATAAGTGTTTGTTTTTAGTTGGAA